TTCTGGCCCTTTAAATAGAACTCCTCATGTTGTGACCCAACCATAAAATTACTTTCGTTGCTACTTCATAACTGTAATGTTGCTACTGTTATGAATCGTAATGTAAATATCTGACATGCAGGATGGTCTTAGGTGACCCCTGTGAAAGGGTCGTTCGACCGCCAAAGGGGTCGCGACCCACAGGTTGAGAACCGCTTCCCTAGTGTAATGCATATTTGTACCTACCAATACAGCAAACAAATGAGAATTCCAAAATAGCAGTTTTAATCAGAAAACATTACCATCTTATCTGATAAAACAAAGTAAACAAAAACTATATATTCTGCAAGAGCCCTCCCCCAAATGTAAAATTTAAAGCATCCTACTTACCTCTGACTATGAGCAAGATCTCTCTCTCTCTCTCTCTTTTTTTTGTTGTAAAGCAACATACCCATGACAGGGTGGACACACAGCTCCAACATCCATTGTCCAGGTGACAAAGTGACTGAGCCCATCTCCGTTTATAAAATATTTTATTTTAAACTTAGACTACAGATTTCTAATTCTTTTCACTTTTCAGTTTCCTGAAAGTGATAAATATGATCTACCTGCATCAGGCCAAGGAGGTGTGACAGAAAAGAAAGTGACTTTAAACGCTGTGAGCGCAGCCTTCAGTCAGTGAAAGCTCCTACCCGAGAGCCTCCCCAGAGGTTGGGAAAACTAAACTCTGAGCAGGCTCCCTGTGAATTCTTGGGGGGCGGAGGGGGTATGTTGTAAATGTGATTTCAAAACGACAAATGTTTCCTAGAGGACAATATATTCAACAGTAGAGAGAAAATGATGTTTACATAGCCACATCTATACATATTTTTTAAATGACTCCATATTTTTGCTCAGATTCTAATCCAACTACCTCTAAAGGGAATTTTAGAGATTCTTCCTGGATTTCCACTATTATCCAAGTGTGACTTTTTTCAGAGTACTAGTTAGTTGGCTGATTCTTTCTGTGTGCTACACAGTCCCCTGTTGTGCTTTGTTTTCTCCCAACTCTGGTCCCTTCATTTGGGGGAAGGCATAAGCTACTGATGCTTAAGCTACCATGGCTTGGCCCCTCCTGGACCAATCAATCCTGTTCAAGCAGACATCCTTACAAATGGTTGTCATCTCTTCTAGGCAAGACATTAAGGGAACGCCAAGCATCACTAGGCAAGATGGAACGACTGGGTCAGGAGCATGTGAATAACAATATGCCAATCCATTCCCAGGAATAGGCTGAGATCATACACTTTAAAATGGGTGGGACAGTGGGATCATGTTAAAAGAAAATAAACGTAAACATATTTCTAAAGTGCTCAACAATGACCAGCTACCATAACAATTATTCAAGACTGCATGAGAGTATGAAAAGTTTTGTCTGGATATTTTTTTAAATGTATTATTTGAAGAAAAAAGTCAGAATGGCTACCCAAGTAGTCAGAGATAATTTAGGAGATCTTTAAAATTTCTAGTTTCTATTGGCCTGGGAAAATCTGTCACTGGGTGTTCATTTTGAGTGGCAAATAACATGTTATGTTATATTATTGCTTTCTCAGGCTTTTAACACTCAAGAGCCACAAAACACCTGCATCATAGAGGCCCTCCGCCACTTATCACATTTCTGTAAATTTATTTTACCGGCAAAAAGAAAGGAAATATTGAGCATCGGATTAAACACAATAGCAGTTAATTTTTAACATCCATCATTAGGTGCAAAGGCTGGAGAACCTCTGCGGAATTTTTTCAACAATGATGTTAGACAAATGGGCTTAAAGTGAAATACATAAGCTCCTTCAAAGTGTTGGCTTTGAAGGCTGCCTTGCCCAGATACAAAAATAGATGGTTAAAATGTAAAAATCGATTCTAATGGCAAACAGATCACTGTACTCTCCATGTCCAGGATATTAGGAAAACCTGAATATCTGATTTAGGAGCACCTGGGGAGTAGGCAGACCTGAAAACCCTCCAATAACCTTGAAAACATCCGCTTCCTCTAGAAATGAATGCTCAAATCAGGCCAGCCCAGCCCCCTTTTGTCCCTTCAAGTACAGGGATTAGAAGGCATCATTGATCATTGTATTGTAAGTGGGTTGTCTTTGCCAAGCAGCAACCAGCAAGTGAGGGGATGGGCGATGGGATAAGTCCTCTGTTCTTCCCAGGAGCTCTCCTCCCTTACAATCAGGGAGCGAAGTTCCAGGAGCCTTTCACCTTTTCACTAGGCACAGCTGGGCCCGGAAGCGCCGGAGAGCAACAGGCTCTTTCTAGCTAGAACCAGCGGTTCTCAACCTTCCTAATGCCGCAACCCTTTAATACAGTTCCTCATGTTGTGGTGACCCCCAACCATAACATTATTTTCGTGGCTACTTCATAACTGTAATTGTGCTACTGTTATGAATCGTAATGTAAACATCTGACATGCAGGATGTATTTTCATTGTTACAAATTGAACATAATTAAAGCATAGTGATTAATCACAAAAACAACATGTAATTATATATGTGTTTTCCGATGGTCTTAGGCGACCCCTGTGAAAGGGTCGTTCGACCCCCAAAGGGATCACGACCCACAGGTTGAGAACCGCTGGGACCCTTGGAGACTGCAGATAATACCACCTAAGGCACGCGCGTGCGCGCGCATACACACATACACAGGCACACGCACAGGCAGGTTAGCCTCTCAGCTTAGCCCAGAAAACGCCAGAGAATCCACATAAATGAGCTGGAAAGAGAAGGCGGCCAAGGATCGTCCTGGCCGGGCCCATTCCCAGCTGTCCCTGAAGAAACCCCAGCAGGATGACAGGCGGGCGCGGTCTGTCATCTTTGAGTCCCTGGAAGCAGATTCCCGGAAGGTCCGGACCACGGAGCGCACGTGCGGGCTCGGAGCAAGCCTACTCTTGGGCCCCAGCCTAAAGGTGTGAATATTGCGCAGGGCCCACGGGTTCCCAGGAAGAAGCCAGGAGGGGCGGAGGAAAGGGGCCGGACGGAGTGGGGACCCCATTTGCGGGACAGTGGTGCCTGATCCGCCCAGCGCCCCTAGGAGCTTCCCTCTGGGCCGCTCTGGAGCCGCCTGCGCCAGCCTTGCGCCTCCGGGCGCCTCATCGGGGAGTGCCGCACTCCCCGGTCCCTCTGGAGGCCAGAGTTCCACAGTCCTACAGAAGGGCTTTGTGGTGTAGACCACCATTAGAATGACAAGGCCCCCAAACCGCGGCTGCGGAGCATCCAGAGCAGGCGAACTGCAAGAGCCGAAGCTCAGGGCAAGGTCTCCGGCCATCAGTGGGCAAATCCTTTTGTTCTTTCACTCAACTAGATGAGTGGACCGAGGTGGCTGCAGACAACCACCAGCCTACTTCTTCTGGCAGTCACCAAGTGCTGCCACCCGGCCATGAGGGGAGGGGGAGAGGAACGGGGAGGGAGAGAAGAGGGGGAGGAGGGGCAAGGGGCTGTGGGAAGAGAAGCCCTTGTTGACTGGAGCACTAGCTTCCATTTGGCATACAGTAAATGTGCCAGGCGCTTCAGATATACAGACGGCCCTCAGACCATGGCGTGCACGACCTGTGTGTAATGAACCAGGAGTAGCCCGGCTCTGTTTTCCCCAATGGCTTTCCAAAGCCCTTCGTCTTCAAACCTAAACCAGCTGGCCTAGGGTCCACTTCAGCTTCCTGGAAGCTGCCCTCCTCGCCTACATGCATGATTATTAAGGGCAAAGATCCAGGCAAAATGGTCCTCCCTGGATGCGCAAAGGGCACACGAGAGGCCAAAGCCTGCCTGTGCGCGCTGCCCCCCCCACCCCCCCACCTCTGCTGCGGGAGCACCAGCCACGCCGCAGACGGCTTCCAATCTGAGCGCCTTCCAGGACTTTCCGCGGGTGTCCTGCTCTGGCTTCCCCGAAACGCTTCGCTTGCTCAGTGTTAATGCCGATGACAAAATCCTCCCGGCAGCTGGGACTGACCCTCACAACACACCACAGAACTCCTTTTAGACTGATTACTTGAGCAAATGAAACAACACAGGTGTGATGGTGAGTCCTCAACCTCTGGCAAATGTAAAAAGGTGGCCTTTTCTGCGAAGACCGTGTCTCTTTGTAAATGGTTCGGTTTCCTAAGTCTACAGGGGAAAGGGAAAGTAAGGAGCTGTCAGTCATTCTTCCGGGCTCCAAACTAACAGGCACCACGGTCTACGAGAGGAGAAATGCAGAATCTCTCTTGCTCCCAGCACGCCGCCAGTGTCTCTAGACCTGATGCCCAGTTGCTTGCAACGCGCTCCCAGCCCTATAGAAAGAGTGAAATCCTTGACTGAGCTCCCTTAACCCTCGCCAGTCCCAGGGAGAGGCAATCCGGCTTTTGATCCCTTTAAAAACCTGAAAGAGCCGGCGCCTATTGGGAGGGACAGGGTCTTGGTCGTCTGTGGTGTTAGCCTCCAACGCTTCTGTTGTAGGGGCTTTTGTGGAAGTAAAAGAAAGTAAGCAACTTCGGGGCACTGTTTTCCTGAACCTCTCCCGCCACAGTTCTGTCTGGGATATGGGGAGAGATGGCCTCAGTGCCTTCCGGCTGCACCGGGAGTATCTGCGCATCTGGGGACGGGGAGCAGGGCACTACAGTAAGGTCCCGCGCTGGCTGGGAAGGGGTCTGCCACCCCACCGCTTTCCAGCCAGGTCTGCATCCTTGTGTACCAGTGAGCACTCCACGAAAGAAATTCCACAGGTGCCTAAATCCAACCGTCTCCAGCACACGCCTGTGGTTCCCCGGACTCTGTTGTTGGACCTTTAGGAGAGCCCGACGGTGCGCCCCGGCGCGGGAAGGGAGAGGGGCCCGGCTGACGGTGTGTGTCTGCCACCGCTGGCCCCGAGACCGCGGCGCCGGCTTCCCGAAGAGAGTCCCAGAACACTAGAACCCTTAACTGAGGATTGCCCGGAAGCCCGCCCCCTCCCCCGTCCCTAGGCGCCCCCTGCACCCTCCCAAGTAACCTGGGCGAGTGGACCGCACTCACCTACTGCCAGGCAGATGGGGAGCAGCAGCCTGAAGATGAGCCCGCACACCACTTCCGAGGCCATGGCGACAGTCGGGCGACTCCGAGCAGAGGGGCGAGGCTCGAGGGTCTCTAGAACGGGGATGCCAGGCCCATGCCCGCCTAGGGCCTCCTGCTGCCGGCGGCTCGAGGCCGCTCGGTCATCGCCCTGGCGGGGCCGCCGCGCTGTCCGCACCGAGGGCGCGCTCCGGGCTCTTGGCCGAGCCTCAAACGGCTCTAGGTAGCCCCCGCCCCAGAGGCCCGGCCCTCCTCGGCCGGCCCATGAAGTGTGGTCTCCGCAATCCGGCGGCAGCGGCTTCTGCAGCGGGTGGGCCGGTCCGGAGCCCTGCGCCGAGGCACTTTGGGAGGGTCCTGGAGGGCGGCGCGGCGAGGAAGGGGGCGAGAGGGACGTGCTCGGCTGTCGCCTGGCTCCCGAGGCGCTGCTCAGGGGCGGCGGGGGAGTGTTCTTCGAGGAATCCCCTCTGAAGCCGAAGTACCTCTGCAGCCGGGCCAGGCCCTCGCCCACGCCGCCTGCTGAGCGACCCTCGGCCCGGGCTCCCGGAGCTGCCCGCGGGCCTCCCCGAGCGGCGCCGGCGGATTCCGGGCGGCGGGGTGGCTCAGCCTCTGCGCCTCCCAGTTTCGGGCTGGAGAGACCCGGGCGGGAGCCTCCAGGCGCACAGAACCATCCCTCTGTCACCAGAAAAGAATTGTGCGAGCGTGGGCAGAAATCGAGACGAACTCACAAGGAGTGGATCTGGCTCCAACTCCCTCCTCCACGGCCTCAATTTTAAAAAATAAAATAAAAACCCAACGCCGCCCAGATGCCAGCGCGCCCCCCGCCCGCCGCGGTGCTGCCTCGCCCTGGTGGCGCAGCCCTGGCTACCCCGCGGGCGCGCACTTCTCCACCTTCAATGAAACTTTCGAGGCCTCTCCCGGGGACAGGCGTGGCCCGGGACCAATGGGACGGAGCCGGCGCGTGGGGATCCCGCCCCTGCGCGGCACGCGAGGCGGGCGCAGTGCCTGGGCGCGGTGGGCGAGTCTCCAACCCCAGCGCGGAGACATCGGGAGAGGCCAGGCCTCTCCAGTCTGGTGGACTTTATGGTTCACTCGCCGGTGCTCCGCGCTCTCCACCACTGCTCACTCCTGCAGACCCGAAGCTCTGCTGGGTCCTGTCATTCTGCACCTAAGGCACACATCCTGGCATCTGGTCGCGCCCCTGAGCTTACCCAACCCCAAGGAACCTTCTAATGCTTGTGCACAGGCAGAGCAGCAGAGCAGTCAGGGTTTGCACAACTTTGTAGGACTGTCACTCATGCTAGGACCACACTTTCCCACTTGAACTGATGAAGAAGAATACAAACAGACCAGTGATCCAGTCCATCTTTAACCTTGTGAGAAGCTTCAACTCTGAATAGGCTCTGGGAAACCCCAGGTCTCCAAGAATGGGCATCATGGTTCAGATGCGCATCCACTTTGCACATTTGGGGTAATCTTGTTTTTGCTTCAGGTTGTTTTGTTGTTTGTCATGGCTTTGGGGAAAGAGCATGTAGTTCCCCATTTCTCCTAATAATCTTTTTTTCCCCCTTGTTCTCTAGGTAAGATCTAGAGAAATCTGGTTCTAGTTGGGAGAGGTCATTGTGCTTGGGTCCCTTATTTCATGATTGCCCAAGAGTGGGGAAAATGTGCTGAAGCACCTGTAGGATCCTCAGGACCAGAACCTGAAGATCTTCCAATCTGTAGAGAGGACCATTCAGAATTGGCATTTGCATCAAGAGAACAGAAAAGGAAGAATTTGACTTCCCTTCTGCACCAGCATTCTGGGCTTGTATTGGTCTGAAACTATGGAAAGTCTGATGATGAAAAGTCTTGATTCTGTCAACCCATGGTCAGCGATTCAAAGCCAACAGGAATCCCCAATTTAGGGTGCCCTAAAGAAGGAAACTATTTAGTGCAAAACAGCTCAATTGTGCTACAGCATGAATATGAGGTAGCCCTGGGGCCAGGCCCCTCTGGGCTAGACAGCTCTGCTCTGGTGAGACATCCTCTTTGGTATTTCAGCTCAGCCAGGGAGAGGCAGTCTTCAGTGGAAAGAGAGAGTATGGGGGGGCGGGGAGGGGGAGGCTGACTTACATGGACAGAAGTCCCTGCCCCTGGTCCCTGATTGATATCATGCAAATGTAGAGTCTAAATCCTCACAGTCTGATTGGTCCAAAACACACTGTTCTGATTAGTCAAAATAGAACTGCTATTATTGGTAGGAGATGCACAGCTCTGATTGGATGGGAAAACCTCAGTCCTATTGGTTGAAATAGGATTCCAGGAACTCCTTTATATGGACTGGATCAGATGGCAGAAACACAGTGCAAGCAGGCAGCAGGCAGTTCAGCACAGGCTTCTCTGTGAAGGCAGGATGCATGAGAGGCCCCTGTACAGAAATTGCCACTAGGCCTGTTTGTTTGTTTCTTTCTTCTGTTGTGTTTCTTAATAGGTGTCTTTTTTCCTGAGGGTTCACAGTCCTATATGTTCCCCTCCCTTTTTTTGAGTAAAAGTAAGCTTGTGTTTTGAGCTCATGCCTTCAGAAATTCTCTGAGAATGACAAATAAACTGTGAACCATTACTTGTTTTTTATGCAGACTGGAGGCAGTGAAATCTTATAGAGACAACTCAAAGCTTAGGTCATCTATGTGTTCTGGAGTCCTCAAGAAGCTTAGATACCTAAATCCCAAACATAATCATAAACCCAACAGGACGGCTAGAGATGATAGAAAATTAATTGTTAGCAAATTATTGACTACTATCAGGAAATGTTTTGTGTTTTGTAGAAGCCTGACAAAAATCTACACCCATTCTCTCAGGCGTCTAGCGTTTTGGTGTTCATAGGTGGTGGTCTGTCTCTGGTACAACTTGTTTTGGGAACCTAATTAAGGGCTCCCATAGCCCTCCTGATTTTTAAATAACATTACATCAATACATGAGTCCTTAGTTTTTTTTCTGAATATGTTGTCATGTTCTCAGGAGGTTTCCCATTTTAACAACTGCTTAGATTTCTTGGATGCTTAAGCAGGAGACACAGCAGATAAATGATCTTATCACATGCACTTTTTGCTTGCTCTGCCACGTTAAATGTCAACTTAGCTGTTTAAGTTTTTAGAGGAGTTTCAGTTGTCTAGGCTATACCTATCTAGGGTTCTCCATCCAGGCTGCATGTCACAGTCACCTGGGGAGCTTTTTCTTGGAATAGAGTACTGTCCTCATTCACATGTCATAATTTCTGGCAACATGCAATTGTTTTTCAAAACTAGCATCACCAAAACAGATCCATCTTTATGGAACTGTATTTTCACACTGGGTTTGACACAAGTATGCTTATCAGTATCCAGTGGCATTATATTGTCTTTACAAGGGCTGTTTTACCCTAAAATTTCCCTAATCTGAGGAGCAGCATTTGCTGTCTAGACAGATTTGTTTTGTTTATTTTAAATTGTATGCCATATGTGTGGGGTTTTTTAACTTTATTTATTGATTTGAGAGAGGAAAGGAGAGAGAAAGAGAGAGAGAGAAAGAGTAAGAGAGAGACATCAATTTGTTGTTCCACTTATTTGTACATTCATTGTTGACTCTGGTATGTCCACCGACCAAGGATCAAATCCATGACATTGGTGTATTGAGATGGTGCTCTAACCAGCTGAGCTACTTGGCTAGGGCTAGACAGATTTGTTTCTGAGGGCAGTCCAGCCCACGAGGAAGGATACTGGTCCCATTGTTCAGGAGTCCTGCTGCCTAGTGACCTTCATCCTCAATCTGAGCATGATATTGCCCAAAATCTGGAATGAGGTAGAAAATTCTCCAGGAAGAAAATCAACTACATAAACATATTATTTTGATATTTGATGAGTACTAAAAGCATATGACCTCAAGTTTAGCACTGATGATGAATTAAGCTGCAGTCACTCTGTGTCTGCATCTATTCTACAAGGACAATGAATGGCTTCTCTTGATCACTATTGACATTTTAGTGCCTTGGATTCCTCATCTGTAACTTGAGAAAAGTAATCAAACCTATCTAACATGGAGTGCTATTAATGTATAGAGTGCTTAGAGAAGTGCCTGGTGCATAGTAATAATTCAATAAACATTAGCTGCTATTGTTGTTTTTGTTGTTGTTACCATTGGAAAGCAAGGACTGGTCCTACATTTCTGAAATGGTTATGCTGAAACATAGCAGCCTGCCCTTATATTCAGAAAGACACACTGGCTCTTTGTAATATGTTTAAAAACTGTGGCACAGTTGAGTGATAAATATTTTCCTAAGTGTCTGAGTTTTAGCCATTAAAGAATGTCACTTTGTGCCCTGATGGATTTCTTCTCACCTGTTTAGCTTTTATCGTTTCTGACCTTGGTTTAATGCTACGCTGTTTGACAAAATCATTCAGAAACACCGGCTTTGTTCCAAGTGATAATCTTCTCTAGTATGCTTAATATGCAAACACAAAGTTAATAAACTTTTCCAGTCTCATGTCAATTATGATTCTCTCAAACACTGTGTCAGCTTCTTTTGGGAGAATTCAGGAGTATCTAAATCAGTGGTTCTCAACCTGTGGGTCGCGGCCCCTTTGGGGGTCGAACGACCCTTTCACAGGGGTCGCCTAAGACCATCCTGCATTTCAGATATTTACATTATGATTCATAACAGTAGCAACATGACAGTTATGAAGTAGCAATGAAAATAATTTTATGGTTGGGTCACAACATGAGGAACTGTATTTAAAGGGCCAGAAGGTTGAGAACCACTGAAAATGGTAACTTTACAAAACAGGATATCCCAAAGGAATAAAAAATTTGTCAACCTGGCATTTTCTTCTCCCACTGAAATGTGCCAAAATCCCTGGGCACCATCTAGCCTGTAGAAACTAACATTTTTAGATCTATACATTTCTGTGTTTTCATTTGTAAGTAACAATATTTGTTTAGAGGTTATTTGAGTTAGGAGCCACATCGTTTTTAGTTCTTATACTTGAAAAAACTTGGAAGCAGAATGAAAGCTTTTCTTCCTTTGCTAATATATTCTGTGGTTGCACTTTTTTTATAAAAAAAAGCTGTTAATGTAATGTTTACAGCAGACATACTTTCAAGGTCTCTAAATTCCAAAAACTATACAACTTCTAATAATTTGTAGGAGACATCATCTTATTACACTTCTGCTAAAGAGTTTATCCACCATACAGCCTTGCCCACCATCAGCCACAGAGAAAATGCACCAAACCCTTCGTGTACTTCTCCCTTCATTGGCTCTTGAACATAACTTCCTGCTGGGTAACACCAAGTTCGTTACGCATCTTGAACTACAATTAGTGAGCTATAATATGGACCCAGGGTCTGAAGCAGATTGCTCATCTGTTTCTGTTGCTCAAGAACCTTGAAAAATCAGCTAACTGGTGTGTACATGCCTTATTTTTCCAATTTGATTGTAGGCTTTCAGGGCATGGACAAAATTATTCTATCACACACACACACACACACACACACACACACACACACCCTTAATTGGGTATCAAAGATCACATGTGAAAATAAAAGAGCATAAATAATTTTGTGGGGTTTTTTTGTAAAGTTGATACATAAGACAAGAGATTGTGAATTTGTGGGGAGGGTGCTCTGCTGAAGTTGGTGACTTGCCTTGGGCACACAGGCACCCAGATGGCTGACACTAAAATATAAAAACCACCATTCATTATTCACAGCAAACACCATGAGCAGATTTTTATCTTGGGGGTTGTCTAGCTGCTTTCTGTGTATTTGGTCCTGAGGTCTTTGAAGAAGCTGGTGGTTTTAATATCATTTCATCCA